TGTACAATGTCGTATTTATAGAGCCGTAGCGTCATTAACCATAACATTTATTGGTGCGTAACCTCATTAGTTGAACGAACTATAATTGACACACCGGTTGACCTGTCAATTAAGCAGGCACATCAGAGACAATGTCGGCATTTCTTTCACTCACCATAACATAATTCAAAATTAAATTAATTCGAAAATAAACTCTCCTGTCTTGAGTATTGATAATTTAATCATCAATTTAATATCTATCGAATAATTTGACGTATTGTTTCTAGTTTTATCATTAGTTCATATGATTCTCTAGTATATCAAAGATGAGGTCAATTTAAAAGTAAGACAAATTTATTTTTAAAGTTTTAATATATAACAAGGAAAATTGGTTCATTCATAATAGTAGTCATGATATAAACACATCAGTGTACATATGTATTAAATCATGAACCGTTCTCGATTTTCCCAAAACGAAAAAGAAATCGTACGTGATGAGAATTATGACGGATATCGTGTATCAGAATCTTGTTATTGATTCTGCCAACGATATATTTGATTAAGGATTCCACTCCACGTAATTGAGGTCAATGAAGTAGAAGAAAAATATTTATATTCACTTTGCGAATCGAAAAAATGACGTATTGTAATAAATACCATTCAGAAACGTAAATACGATCTTGGAAAATACACGGTAACATCGAATTAAGTTTTTCTTATTCTGAATTCTCAATTTAAATTATTGAAAAAAATGGAAAAAAAAAAACAATTAAAATCTTATCGGAAACACTTTGATTTAAAAGAAAACACGCTTTTTTTTTAAAAAACAGATGACAATTCTTTAAAAACCATACAAATAAATAAAAAAGTAAAGTGACTTACCCGAGCTAACTAAGACGATAGAGATGACAGTCGCTACGAACCAACGCATTTTGCCGTCTTCACCTCACAAAAAACTCATAGATAACTTTTGTAGAGGAAACACGGTTGTGCTCAGAAAGTCTGAGCAAACTTTTACGCGGCCGTAAGGGAGGCCCGGCCTGTTTGATGCGTCAATTTGAAATGAATTCCGCTGTGGTACTACGGTTGAATCAGCGAACATGAAACGTCTGCTAACCTTTGACACGCATGCGCTATGTAATAAGAGCACTGTGTATTAATTGTAATTAAAAAATAAATGCAACATAATTGAAATTTTGAACAATTTTGTTCAGATTTTTGCCTGACCCTGGGACCATAAAGGTATTTTGTATTAAATGTCAATTTGGTGTGTAATTAGACAAACGCCCGAGATTTTGAACGTGTTCCATTTGCAATTCTGAAAAAAAAAGCAAGTTACACATAGCCGAGATGAAGAGTTGATTCTGTCGCTCTTAACTAGTTAATTTGTTGATCTATTGTTAAGTAAAATCACAAAGACAAATCGGCTATCGTATCTCTAAGATCAGATAGACTCAGCGTTGGCTGTGTTATGCCATTTGCCATTATAAAAATCATATGTGTCAATCAAACTTTATACTACCTTTGTGTAAAATTTCATGCAAATCTGATCGGCGATATTAGTATAGATTAAATATAAATGAATCAATTTTATTCTTTAGAAATGGAAACGCCTATGGATAGATAGTTCAAATAGTTATATTGTAAAGACCATAATTATTTTGTAAAAAAATAGAAAAAATTACGGAACTATATATACATAACCACTTAAAGTCTTTTGATATTTAGGTACTTTTTTTAGAAATTAACATTAATTTTCATAAATAATCTTTTGTAGCCTAAGGAACTATTTCAACTACTAGCTCACGGGCTCAACGAGAGAGAATTGATAACACTGACCCTAGTTTGAGCAGTAAGTACTTCGCTAAATCTAGCACTGGATCGGAATCATAACCCACTGAAAAGATCGAGCGAGAAACTTAATTAGCAGCGGCCACGATAAGAGGGTTATCGTGTCGTGCCGCTTTATCAAACTAGTGTTCTGACGCTTTTTTAAGATACATACGTTTCGATTAAAGATTTAGGTCGTAAAAACTAACATTCCTTACATATCACGTACTCCGGCGACTATCCTGCAGAAATAGGATTGGGTGGTTGGAGAGAATTAATGTGTGCACGGGCCCCGTGATCGAACACTGTACATGCATAGGTGCATAGGGCTAGGAAGGTCAACTATCTGGTAGTCACTCTGGATGCATCTATGACATTCCACCCGCAAATAAAATCAGTCCGCGACCATGCCGCGCTTATTCACGGCAGACACTACACCATGATCTGTAAGCGGAGTAAAATGTCCCTTCGGAACAAGGTGACGCTTTATAAAACTTGCATAAGGCCCGTCATGACTTACACGAGTGTGGTGTTCGCTCACGCTACCCGCACACACATAAACACCCTCCAACCCCTACAATCCAGCTTTTGCAGGCTAGCCGTCGCAACTTCGTGGTTCGTGAGGAACGTTGAACTGCATGACGACCTGGGCCTCGAATCAATCCGGAAACACATGATGTCAGCGTCGGAACGGTACTTCGATAAGCGTTATAATAATCGTCTTATCGCTGCCGCCGTTGACTACTCGAATCCTAATCAATCACCGTCGACGCCCTAGACACGTTCTTATGGATCCATCAGATCAAATAACCCTTGTATTAGATACCTTTAGCTCTAACACTAGGGGCGGGCTTAAGGAACCCGGTAACCGTATTCTTCGAATTAGTTCGACGTGCAACTTAACCTAAACATCAGCCCGCTGAGTTTCTTGCCGGATCTTCTCAGCAGGTCGCGATTCCGATCTGATAGTAGATTTATTCGGGAACCAGTTGCTCTTGAGTTCTTTGGTCTCCTTCAGAGGCGCTCGGGCAGCTATTAGCAAATCCCACCCCTCCTGGCTGAGCCTTTGCTCGCCCACCTGTCCTTGTGAAGTAAGTTGCTCAATATTTGAAGACAAAAAGACGATATAAGAATTATACGTTCATCAGTGCAGGCTTGATTATTTTCACAATCGTCCATTACAAATCACTGATTTCTAGAATGAGAGAGTATAAACTTGAATTTGTCACTTCTTATCCAAGAATAAACTGATTGCTATTGATTATCTTTGATCTTCAAGATAGCTAATCCTACATTATTTTAATTACAATCGCTATTGAAAATATTTTGAAAATTAAAACAGGTGTCATAAGGTCGATCAAAAAAATTACAATAGAATTTTTTTTTCAAAAATAAATGTTTTTCGTATTTCAAAAGATTTTTTCTTTAGCGACGAAGATAGATATATCTGGAAACACCAAATTAGATTGCAATCCTAATTTTGTTACCATTTTCTGTTCTTAATAGTATTTTTAATTTTTTCGGAATATGTCTTCATACCCGTTTTTCAGAAAATAAACTTAGGACACTATTTTCATCAATACCTGTTTCAATAACTGTAAGGCGTTGTGATTTTGTCTCAAAATGAGTGAAACTGCGGTGGACGATGCGTTAAAAACTAATTGCTTTTGATTAAAAGATACCGGTTGGTTATTAGATAAGATAAGATGAATTCTAAAGTTTTTGGACTTCCTCATGCCAGGTCTCTGGGGAATTACCTAATTTCATGACCACTTTTTTCACGCCTCCTAACTTCGATAGAAGCTGAGTGATAAAAAAAAAACATGAAAATAAACACGTTCCACTCATATTATCGTAGATAAATCAAGATATCAAATTACATACGAATTCCCTTCTTCTCTCGTTTCCGTTTGAAAAACGATAGTGGTATTATTGTAAGAATTGGCTATAGTCTACATAAACTACAAGATTTTTAAACAGAAAGTCAAGCTGAACTGCATATTATGTTAAACTCATCCGAATTGTTTACTCTTATCTTTTACCAGAAGAAACCTTTCACGTTTTTTTTTCACGTCTGGTAGATCTAATACTAATTTGATCGGCTAATCAAAATATTATTCAAATTATGATTTACATTTTATTTACTGTAGCTCCTTTAAGATTTACATTAGAAATTACAGATTTGCTTAATTTACTTACTTTCTGCTGCTTGGCAACAATTTGGGGTTAGTAAGCTGACCTCATATTTTAAACTACTTGGACGGGATAGTCAAAATTATTGCCAACTTTGTGACCTAATACTTGAATACAACATGCGGCGTAACTGACGCTGTAATATGTAGTATTCGTGCGTTTTAATTCCAATTTACAATTGAATTATATCATGTGTATTAACATAAATTGTGTAAAAGCATCAGCTGTGATGCTAGGCAGTGACGAGACAAGGAATGCAAAGCACAAGTTCTGCAAGTCCGTAATATTCCAGAAGGAGAGGGCGGAGCGCGTAATAGATCTGTGTGGAATTATTTATTTTATTTGTCCACATGAAAGAAAATATAATTTAAAAATCATCAATTATAGCTTTATAAAATAATTTGAATTACAATTAAGAGATAATCATAATTTTAACTCTTATCTATAATCGTCTCTCGCTTCAGTCCTGCGACTCGAGCTCTTACAATAGTCGCTGTTTCTCATAACTACAGTGCCGAACCATCAAAATTTTGATCTATCTTCCATTACTCTGCTTGACGGCATTTCTGGCCTGATTCCGTTTGTATTCATTAATGGTTTCGTCCGTAGTCGCAAGTGTGAGTGCAACATAGAATCTCAACATTTCTAACTCAGCCTTGATTTTCCAGTGAATACCTTCCTTTTACTCACGCACGGGAAGAGATGGGTTAGTGTAAATATTAAGCCTATTCTTAAATTTTTTGAAAATTTGGGTATGTAAAAACAAACATATTTTTTTATTTTTTGTTGTAATTAAAATTACTATTGCCCTATTTAACAATACCTTCTTATCTACACGCTATTTAAAATACGTTCCTTTTGATGTACCGTTAACAAACTTTATCGGAACTAAGATCTTAATATCATATTTATCTAACTTAGTCACATCGATCGCGATCGCTTTATAAAGGCATTTTAAAGCGAAAATTGCACAAACACATTTCGTGAAGACGCGAAAAATGTTGAAACTGATTACTTTGTTGGCCATCGCATTTGCCGGTGAGTAACTTTTATTTGAAAATACAGACTGTCATAGATAAATACTGTAATTGTAACAGTGAAATATTCATTAAGCCATTTACTCTCCATAAAATATGAATAAAGGAAAACTTTGTTACCCTTTTACGGATAATATTAAGAAAACAAATTACTAACTTAACAAAAAATACATGCTTTAATATTAAGCCTGTCTAAAAAGTAAAATAATCTTTATTTTATACCGTTCAGTATATTCGGCCAAATGAAATGATTGTATTCTTATCGGTTCTTGATTTGTGTAAGTTAATCAAAAATCTTGAAGTTGGTAACAACTACGTTCTGATTATAGTACACAAATAGATATAACTAATAGATACAAATCAAACTTGTAAAAGTCTACTATTAAATATGTAGTTTGTCAATGTGGTTTCTTTAAGCATCACTCGAAATCATACTTCTTAAAAACAAAATGCTCGTGTATCATTAATGTGTTCTAATTAATTATTGTCTTCTTTTTAGCTTGCAACGGAGATGCCATTCAAAGCTTGGAGCGATTTGGAAGTTTAAATAAATATTATTACTATAGGTGAGTTTTTTTTTGTATTTCTCTAAACGAGAGGACGGTTCAAGAGTCCCATCTGATGCTCAGTGGTTGTGTGATATATCTTATGTATATACATATATACTTTAAACAATATTATATCTATTTTACACAGCAATGCACAGAGAAACCCAATTACACTCACCGAAGACCACTTTCCCACTGGAAACGATCCTGCTACGCCCTTTAACAATGATTGGGATATTGTCGTAATAATACACGGTCACAGTGGCACTGCTACGACGACGATCAACCCTATTGTTAAAGACGGTGAGCAAAGATTTAACTTTTTAATAAAATTAAAATTGACAAGCCAGGAACGAGGAATGAAGAATTAAGTCTGCTGAAGTTGGCTTCATCAATCTGTTGATTATATAATGAACAGTTTATATTAATTTACAAATAGAAGCTACAATGCAAAAACGAACTAGAAAATTAACTTAACTATGGAGTAATAATAAAATGTTCTAATGTGCGAAATTTGCTTTCAGCATTTTTAACAAGTGGCGATTATAACGTTATCGTTGTGGATTGGTCATCATTCAGTCTATCAACATATTCAACGGCAGTGATGGCTGTGACAGGTGTGGGATCAAGTATCGCTACTTTTTTGAAAAATCTCAAATTACCACTTAATAAGGTGCACATTGTTGGTTTCAATCTTGGAGCTCATGTTGCTGGAGTGACTGGAAGAAATTTGGAAGGAAAAGTAGCAAGAATTACGGGTAAGTTTAATGTATGATTTTTTTGTTGATTTTTACTTTTCATCAAGCAACGAGGGGACTGACACTCCTGTTATTATTTACAATTACTGAAGTCTTCGGGAATCATATTGATGGCTAAATTCTTCAGTATAGTCTTAATACATGAAGTGTGATTAAATCGAAACAATAGATACGACGCTTTGTACCGAGTTTTCTTTTTTCTAAGTTTGGGTTGATGGTTGAACGGAACACGATAAGGTGAATATTACATTTTGAGATATATATCGCATCCAAGTCTCAATATGTAACAAGTGACTTCAAATTGGAACGTATGAATTTTCTATTGAAGGTATAGGTAGGATGTGCTTTGGAGCCACCATGCACTCTACAACCAGTGAGTCGGTATGCTTCGAAATGTTACTTGGCAATAACTATAGAACCCAAAGTGAAACTAGGCTAAGTCTACACAACTGGCTCTATTGGAGCCCGTAAAAAACATGTTTTACAAATAAACTTTTATACAGCCAGATTCAGAATATCTCACAATCTAATTAAACANGTATAGGCAGGATGTGCTTTGGAGCCACCATGCACTCTACAACCAGTGAGTCGGTATGCTTCGAAATGTTACTTGGCAATAACTATAGAACCCAAAGTGAAACTAGGCTAAGTCTACACAACTGGCTCTATTGGAGCCCGTAAAAAACATGTTTTACAAATAAACTTTTATACAGCCAGATTCAGAATATCTCACAATCTAATTAAACATTTCTCCAAAAAACCTAGGTCTAGACCCTTCGGCTCGTGATTGGGAAAACAACGTACTACGACTGGGAACAAACGATGCTCAATACGTTGAAGTTATTCACACCGACGGATCTGGTGTCAACAAAAACGGCTTGGGCGTTGCTATTGGACACATTGACTTCTTTGTCAACGGCCGTCTTGTCCAACCGGGCTGCACGAATAACTTATGTAGCCACAACCGCGCTTATGAAGTTTTTGCTGCAACAATTACGCATGGCAAACATTACGGAAATCAGTGCAGCACAGAAGCGGAGATAACCGCAAATAATTGCCGAGGATTTATAGTTGAAATGGGTACTGCCAAACTTGTAAAGCATGGGTATGTTTAATATCTTTCCATTACGTATTGAAATTTCTATGTTTTTTTTTTAATATAGGGATAATAAGGGATAACGGGAAACATCCAAATAAATTTCGATTTACATGTGCTTTTGCGCAATCTAAACTGAAAAATGTTTCAAATGAAATATTCTGATACTTTTCAATAGTTGAGAAGTGTGATGTGGTACCGTATTATTGAAAGCCGGTCACGTTCCGCTCTGACTATTAGTAAATGTATAAATTCACCTATTTGCTTAAACTAGAAACGCGCTGTCTATCACAGAAATTTGAACTAAATATTTGATATTCAGTATTTATGAACAAGTTACTATATCTGAAATTTAAGATTAATCAATTCGTTGATCGAGTGGTCATTGACCCTAACTATTAAGCTATGAGGTCCGTATCCCGTTTCCGATAGGAGTCAATATATTTTTTAAAGATATTTGAGGTCGGGGTGTATTTACTTGTTCTTGTGTTGGATGTATTCGTGGTATATAGATTAAAAAGAAAAATTCTATCTGGAGTTCGTTGACTGCATGCTTACTCAACGAACTATTAACTAAAATCCATATATCCCACCGAAATACCTGTTTATTGAACCAAAAATTAAATGTCTCTTCCCGTTAAATCCAATATTTACGTTGCAAATTATTTCGTTCGAGTCCTTAGACAATTGAAAATTCTCAAAGTGTAATTTTTTAACTGTATCAAATTATTCATCCGACGCGTATAAAAGCAGAAATTGTTCATAAATTTTACTTTAATTCACTCAGCGACATCAATAATTTGACGCGACATTAAATATTGAATATAATTGTAAAATAACTCAGGATTTAATTGCGTGTCGGAGTCCATGTCGAATCCTTTATTCATTGATATTGAGTCTCCTATTTGATGGTAATCAAACATTTTCTTTTCTCAAAATAAAGTTACAATCTTACTTGCTTCATTTCAGGTCTGGAATGTTCCGAGTAAATACCGGCATGAGGTACCCATTCCATTTGTGATGCCTACAAAACTTAAAACGAAGTTTTCTGTGATGACCAATAAAATTAGTTTCTACATTAACTATTATTTATTATTATTATTATTAAAATAATAAAAATATACAATGTTGAATAGTGTGTTTTCTTTCCGTTAGTGCGTATATCAAAATTAAATGTTTGGTCCTNGATGCCTACAAAACTTAAAACGAAGTTTTCTGTGATGACCAATAAAATTAGTTTCTACATTAACTATTATTTATTATTATTATTATTAAAATAATAAAAATATACAATGTTGAATAGTGTGTTTTCTTTCCGTTAGTGCGTATATCAAAATTAAATGTTTGGTCCTTATTGACACTATTATCTATTACTACCTACACAAAAACAAAAAACAAAACGTAGTTTAACCATAAATATTGTTACAAGAGAAAAGTTATTTTTTGTTACATAATACATTTATGAGAACACTTTTACTGGTGTTAGGACCTCTTGTGAGTCCACACGGGCAGGTACCACAGCCCTGCCTATTTCTGCCGTGAAGCAGTAATGCGTTTCGGTTTGAAGGTTGGGGCAGCCGTTGTAACTATACTGAGATCTTATATCTTATATCAACTAAGCAATAAAAATAAAAAAAGGTTGTCGGTGCCACCTATATCGACAACTTGAAGTTTTTTGAAACACTTGAATTTAAGTTAGTCAGAATGAACCAGGTGGCTGGTTAATTAAAAAAACAATAAATGATCTTCAGTCTAGATCGTTAGATATGTATGTGAGCATCGAAAGTAAATTTATCAACAGTAAATTTCTTATAACTAATACTAGCCAACATCAGAGCCATCATAACAAATCATAGCTATAAGGAATAACTTATAACTAATTCGGCTAGTATTCACAACATCAGAGCCATCATAACAAATCATAGCTATAAGGAATAACTACGTATTATAAAAATCAAGGCCGGAATATTTTCTGGTGGCAGGGCGCATTGCGAGTACCTTCGGTGCCATCATCTTGCCAATTCTATAGTGCCACGTACCGTGCGCTTCCCCTCGGTGCGGACGTCTGGATGAGTCTCGGCCCCGGTCGGAAGATCGCCGAGTCGATTTTCCGGGCGATTCCGTCGGTCAGTCGTATATAGGTCGCTTCGACAATCGAAAATAATAAATACGAGCGCCTCCGCGACGCGTGGATTTCGTAAAAAAAAGCTCGAAATCACCAACACCTCAAAAATAACATGCCCGTTTGGATATTCATTCATTACTGGTGGTAAGATCTCTTATGAGTCCGCACGGGTAGATACTACCGCCCTGCCTATTTCTACCGTGAAGCAGCAATGCATTTCGGTTTGAAAGGTGGGGTAGCCGTTGTAACTAACTATACTGAGACCTTAGAACTATATATCAAGGTGGGTGGCGCATTTACGTTGTAGATGTATATGGGCTCCGGTAACTACTTAACACCAGGTGGGTTGTGAGCATGTCCAACTGTCAAGCCATAAAAAAAATTTGAAATCGTACATCTACAAATTTCATTTCTTGTTATCAACAAATATTGTAATGTTAATTTACGAACGTATAGATCACAAGCTATTCACGTATGAGGCTATCGGTTCAGCGTATAAAAAGCGCATCGAGAGTTCTTTAAAGGTAACATAAGTAGATGTTTCGCCATTTAGCGACTCAGTTGGGAGCTCGTAATTTACAACCGTCTTTCTTCAGCACGTACTACTAACTATAAACTACTTTTACAGCACAACAGAGGATTGGGTATTTACTGCAATGTTAACGAGTCTTTTTATTAAACAAAAACAGTATATGCATGAACTAGCGCATATGAGTATGTTATTATAAATTGGCATAGTTACAGCCCACTGAGTTTCTCACCGGACATTCTTAGTCGATCGCGTTTCCGATCTAGTGGTAGATTCTGCGAAGCACTGCTTTTCCTAGGGTTAGTGTTAGCAACGCTCACAGGTCAGAGCCCCGTGAGCTCACCTCGCTCGGTGAATCTAGTATAATCCCTCGAGGTCACTAAAATAGGTAGGAGAGAAAAATGCAATTTGACCTATGCATATGTAGTGGATTTATTTGTGACATTTTAGTGACGCTGTATATAGTATTCGTTAAATATTATTAATTTCAATGAATATTATATTCAAATTAACATTTTAGGCTATTATAATTGTTAAGAAAGTTTTTCTTCTGAATAGGCAGCGTCACGAGGGAATTAAAAGGAGCACGTAAAAATAGTATTTATTTTAAGTGTCAACCGAACTGACCATGTTTATTTCGGTGGAACTGAGCTAAGCAAACTGATTAGTTTCTATTTTATCCCTACGTCACTATAGCTTCTATATGCCCCACCCTCCAAACCGAAACGCATTACTGCTTCACCGCAGAAATGGGCGGGGTGTGGTACTTACCCGTGCGGATTCACAACAAGTTCTACCACCAGTAAGGCTTGGGGGAAACATTTTGACTAAAGAAGCGATTTTGGAAACAAAATGCCACGTATTCAAAACTATATAAATGGAGAGAGAGATTTTTTTCTTTCTATCGTCTTTCATTGGTTAGTCCAAGAAAGAAGTTAACATAAATTAAATTACGAAATTCCACCAGAGTAAGTCAATACGCGAAAGACAAAGATTCCCTTTTTTATCAGCATTTCACTTTAACACGCTACTATCCACGGCAGTTTTAATATAATGCGTATTTCCCGATATATCTGCTGATAATCTTATATTAAAATCAAATCAACTAAGTATTTTAAAATGTTACATCGCAACCTAGCAAATTATTTTTACTTTAATTTTGTAGATCTCATCATGATTGTCTGAATGAGATTGCTGGTAGCGATTATAATGCATTACATTTGAATGTAATTGTACCTAATGCGGAGTTTTTATTTTATTTTGTATTCATGTATAAAGCTTGATCTTATTCTTAAAATTTTAGAATAACGGATTTAAGTAAGAAGAATTTCGCTCTTACGACTTCTTAAAATTTAAAAATACTTTAATTTTATCACAGACAATTAACACGTTGACTGCCACATAGGTTACCGGCGCCCTACGCGGCGCACTGAAGTAATAATGACGATTTCTCTCTTCGATCTACATACTAAATCGCCGGAACGTCTATTGGAATTACGAATCCGCAGATAGTAAGAATAAATCTATTTTTTAAAAGACCTAAAAGTCTAAAACATACATTAACAAACAAAAGAAGGCAAAGTTAGATAATACAGGCGCTTGGTAACAGAAATCGACGTTATTACTTCAGCGCGCCGCGTAGGGCACCGGTGACCTCCACGGCAGTCAAAGGGTTAAATATTAAATAAATTAAACATAAATAGTGAACAATTCAGACCTATGTATGACCTATAGTCATTTTAACAAAAAGTAGAATTAAGACATTTGACTCTTGTATTGGAAAAAGCCCCGGGCTTGGTAAAATAATAATTCAAAACGTGAAATTTAAAATCATTATTTAAAATTACGAGCATCAGCTACATTAAATAATTGCTTTAATTAAACACTGGAAACTATAAGCGTTTGCAATTCAGATGCCCCTGAAGCAAACCACAAAGCAATGTTACCGCCTTATTTCTATGATCTGAGCTTGGTGCTCAACAAAGCCGTACAAGATTAATTGAATATGCAATTTCAAAAAAGGCACATCTCTGAAAATGTAAAATGTTTAGGAAATGAAAAAAAACTGATTATTTTCTAAAGCAGTCTAAAATTTAAAATATTAACTTTTGAGATATACCTATATTTTAGTGTTAATTAGCAATTGATAATTACTGGAATTACTATAAAATGGGTGTAGGTAAGCCTCAAAACTACATGTATATGAAAAAACTTATTTGACAAAATATGCGACATGTGCCCTTTTCGAAATTGCGTATTCAATTAAATTATTAATAATTGGGTTAAAACAAGACGGCAATTAATACCCGAACATGGTGAGGTTAAGAAATCTGGTATTTTTCTTGTGAATCGCCTTATGACAACAATGACTACTGTTTTACCATTCAACATCAAATTGCTCTGCTTAAATGACACGGTTAAGTACCGTTGTACTACCGCGAAGCAGTTCATTTTAAAGGAGCGTACCGACGTAATATAATACAACCGAAACTTCGGCTTCATGTCTTAAGATGCGTGGAGCTCGCTTAATGAGTCTATAGTACCAGAGCCGGTATCCATTTAACATAAGCTACGTTTAATTCTAAATATACTTTAACTCAAATTCCTACAATTACTTCCTCAAGATACTTCCGTTCGTTACAGTTCTTACAAAGCTTTACTATTCCTTTTCTTAAAATCTTGAGCATGGGTAGGGTGGACAGGCCCGTCCTTAACCCAAAGACATAGCCCACTGAGTTTCTCGCCGGATCTTCTCAGTGGATCGCGTGTCCGAGCCGATAGTAGATTCTGCGAAGCACTGCTCTTGCTAGGGCCAGTGTTAGCAACACTTCTGGTTTGAGCCCCGTGAGCTCACCAACACGTTAAGGAGAAGCTAAAATACCCTCTCAAGGCTATCAAAATAAGGAGAAAAAAAACCTGTCCTGTCCATCGTCCTGATTATAGTGCTGCGAAATTCCGTGCTCAAAAAACCGTTGAACTATTAATCATATGCATTGTTTTTCGTCAATTTTACTTAAATTAAAAAAGTTTAAATTGATTTCTATACTTAACCATAGATACCGTTAAAAATAATCTAAAGTTGCAGTTGCTTGAAATAATAAGTGCTCAGTAGCACACACAATTAAAACTGACGTGGTTTTTTCATAACCCAAAGAGAAATATACGAATATAAGATAAATAATGAACGGATAAATAATGAAGTCGTCGTGGCCTAAAGGATAAGACATCCGGTGCATTCGTATGTAGCGATGCACCGGTGTTCGAATCCCGCAGGCGGGTACCAATTTTTCTAATGAAATACGTACTCAACAAATGTTCACGATTGACTTCCACGGTGAAGGAATAACATCGTGTAATAAAAATAAAACCCGCAAAATTGTAATTTGCGTAATCACT